ACTTTGCCCTATTTCTATGGAATTTGAGTTTGGATTATGATTATGTATTCGTATTAAAAAAAAATTGAATTGAAGACTTTTTCAACTACTTGTATAATTGTAATTGATTACAGTGAAAATGTACTGTGAAATTCAATAATATTTCAATTACATCATACCTTTTGTGAAAATAGTTTGATGAAATAATGGGTACTTAATCTACTAACTGATGATATATTCAGTAATCAGTGCTATGAATAAGTAGTTTTTATACCTGCCCTAATTAAGGTATACATACATGTAACTGGTAAGTATTGACCTGGTGGCCAGACCATATAAACATGTCAGATAATGGGAACCAGGTAGACTATATATAATAATGGACTGTTTTTCTAATCCTCCGTGTGATTGTTAAACTAGTTGAATTTTCTTGTTTGATTAAGGCCTTCACAGTGTGAAGCTCACGCTTGTTTGGATCATACAGGTATATGTAAGATGTCAAGATTGGGAAGAATGATTTGACATTCCTGAAGACTTTCAATCTTAATGGACTGTCAAAGTAACATCGAAATGCAAGCATTGCAACTCATTTATATCTGGTAGTTCACAAAATTACAGATGTCGGCTGAATGATGTTATTATCAGGTAAAAACATTATCACTTATCCGTTTTCTATGCAACTGACAAGAGCTGGCTATTGTCATAAAATGAAATGCTTGTAATGCTATGCGTTTTCTGTTTAAGAGTTCACACTAATTTAAAGTTATAAAATTAAAACAAAAAGGGACACAACCAGGGAATGTTTACACAACATCCTCACCCAGACCATCCCACGCATCCTCCCCACGGTGGTCATTAGAGGTAAGATGAGTTTCCATCCCCATCCAGCTTCTCAAGATTGATATCAGTAGGTGTATATATATATATGATATGCCTCTTTAAAGACACATAATCTTCTTTAACTCCCCAATCCTCCAATTTGATGTGCCTCCTCAGGGGTATGAATTAATTCATGTCTCAGATCCTAGAATGAAAGAGAAATCACTTTACTTTTCAGCTGCTTTGGATTACACGCTTTCCAGAGGATAAATCTGAAGTATTGATATCTGTATTTGTAATAAAATAAATGTTCTTATGTTTTTAATGAAATTTATATCTATTAACATTTTGAATACAGATCATTAAACAGGAATTTATTAATATCTAGGAGGAAGCTTATTAATCAAACGTTATTTCGGATGCTCTTCTCTGCTTGAAGAATGGATAATTTATTCATTAATTTATTATGATTTTTATCATACCTCTACTGCTTCCTTTCGCTAGTCAGTAAACGGTATCTTATGGTATTTCATAATTTACAGTATTAAACTGCACCATACAGATATTTCGTTCTTTAAGGACTCACTCATCCGTGATGCTAAGGTCCTGAAATTTTAAGCCTACGAGGCAGCTAAGGAAAATCCAAAGTGATCAAAAGAAAAGTCAAAATCTATACGTGGAGGTGCAGCAGTCCCATAATAAGATAAAATTTGTAATTTTCATACACCAGACAATTTTACAGTAGCGTCAAGTACATGTGTATTTTCTTAACCGTGCCACCATTCTAGTGAATTTAAACGTAGCAAATTAGTTCTGGAAAATTAAAAATCAACATTTTCCATCAACTTCATCGTGACTTCGAAAGAACATTTTTTTCCATTTGAATATTATTTTACCACGTATTCAAATATTTTCACAGATGTTGTTACTTTGATAATTGTAATAAATAAGAGTATATTGCTAAGAATAATACATATCAGAGAACAATAACAAGTGGAAAAAAGTATAAATGATCGAACGCTCTACTGAAGTGCAAAACATGATTGGTGTTGGTTAAGGTGGATGGACATTAGTAGGGTATGCTATTATATTTTAAGCATACATAGCAACATATCAATGACTCAGTTAGTAGTCAGCAGTAATACTGGTACACACAACGGTAGTGCCACAACATAGTAAGATATAAAGTGAGTTAATCAAAGATTCCCCACAGTGCACATTGTGATCCATTATCTGATGAAGTTATATACTTGATATAGCATTAATATCCGTGCAATCTTGGTCTTATGAAATACAATATAGTTATTTAGGCTCTTAGCATCACTAACAAGTAAAAGAACATAATAGTTGTATGATACAGTTTATTGTTTAACTCCACTCTATCTTTATCTATCTCTATCTTTCTATCTATCTAACTCTAAATTTGTAATAAAAGGTGTGACTGACTTCAGTGTTATTTGTATTTTCAACTATGACGTCATATTTTAACTCGTCCTTGAATTTAAACAGATTTCCGAACCGACATACCTGATTCACATATTTCAACGCTGAATGCTATCCTTAAATACTTTAGCATCTTCTATGGTTTTGTTCATTTCGTTTTGGTAGCATGATTGAGTAATCCTTATTTCCCCGAAAAACACATATTTTAAACTTCTGTCTGTTAAAATAAGTGTCATGCTACTTGCAATATGAGAAGTATGACTACACCATCATTGAAATGAACAGGAAACAAAAACAAGAACACACCAGTTTCAACATCAAAAAAGGATGAGCTACGATAAGAATTTCGATAAATCACACATCTCAGAATTCATTGAAATATAACATATACTAAAGAAATCACTCCTGCAGAGGAGAGAGGAAAACTTGTCTGATGTTTTACATTACTTGCTTCAATATGCCTGTACTCTGAACTGAATAAAACAAGTCTTATTGAGCAACGGATCTAAATGCAAAACTTTCATAGAGGTTTTGATGACGCCATCGTAACCATTGCCATCGCCACCGGAAAAAAATACATTACTTGTTGCCAAATCTAGCTTCCGCAACTTTTGGTTGCATATGAGAAAAAACAACCAGCAACAACGGAAACAATTTGTTTTTAAAATATGAAAAAGATATGCAAAGTATATATGGATTTCATTAAGGATATGTTGTGCTGAGTATATGTCTACCTACGCATCAGTGATCCTATGAATGGTAGCGTTTTGCGTAATGCCTTTGTCGACCGTCCATCGTTTGAAATGAACAGTTTTATTTCTGGGGAGACGATAATACATGATAATTCTTTATAATGACAGTATGGTATCTAGGTAACAGGTTAAATAACATCAAAAGGCACCCTCTGAAAGCTAAAAGGTGATCAGAAGATTAACTGTAGCGTATTTTTTAATTGTTTTATACGAAGATTACATAAACATTAAACAGACACACTTGGAAGTGACATATCCAAATGTATCTACGTCACCATTATTGTCCTTTTCTTGTTCTTGACGTCAATGCATCATCATCATTTGGCGAAGGTCAGGTGGCGCAGTGGTAACACACTCGTCTCCACCTAGTCGTTCGGTTCTCTGAACGGATGTGGGTTTTCTACCGCAATAAGTACCCTCTCGCACATACACCAAAAGTTGAAAATTGATTTGAAGTCTGAATGTCTATAACTCCTACAATACAAATGCAACTTGAAAAACGATAACGAAAAAACAGGGGGAGAGAGACACACGTTGTTGACGTTATCCCATCCTTAACAAGTTTGACTTTTTGACATATGTGAGAAAATAACATTATATGTACAGAATCTCAAAATGGTAAAAGAAAATAATATTTCATCCCCTTGATGCGAGATAGGTAATCTTATTTCTACCAACTTCATTAACTTTTTTCGAGGATACCCCAAGAGAATGACATATTATTTAAATGCTGTCTACAAATAAATTCTTCTATTAAACTATATGTTTTGCAATGACGACTAACAATAAAGAAGTTTTCGCATTTTATCTAATAAAAAATATTAGTAAAATATACATGACATGGCATTTGCTATCACAGCCATCAAAACCAACCAGATGTACACATCGCGACGACACACAACGATATACATGGATATTAATGACATATTTCATTGAGAGGTTTATCTTTTGATATTTCCAACAATGATATCAACACTTTCAAACTAAAATCAATTGAAAAAATCTCAAATTTGTTTTTCAGCTTCCGTGAAAGATATCAGCTTTTATTTAGGTTTTTTTAAACAAAATCGAGAAAATTAGAAAAAATATCTTCAACAGTTTGTATACATGGTACATCAAATAAATGACACGTGAAGGTCTTTATCAAACAGTGAAAATATTTTATCTTCAAGTCACTAAAATCATGGATACCATCAACCGAATGTGTGTGGATGGTATTTGTTGACATTCACTTCTCTAAGTTCTCTGACGATTTAGCAAATGAATGTGTACGTGGATGTATTAATACACTATTATTAGTGACGTCATCAACAAGAACTTGTCAACCAATATTATATGAATTATATTTATCAAACACTTCAGTTTCGCCAATCCAGATCACCATGAACATCGGACATACAATTAAGAATATTGTAGGATTCACAAAGCTTATTATCAAGCCTGTGATCGATGAAAATGAAAAACGCTTGAAGCATGTAGAAATGTTGGCTTCGATTTTATTCCAGAAAAAGCAATACTTCAAATATGTCGCTAACACGCAGAAGTCAAACGAAGTACAACATGTTGATCGATGTATGTATGTAGATCAGACTACGGATGTGAGCATGTATGTAGTAAAAAATCTTTGGGGGACTAGAGACGGTAAAATTCCTAGAATTGTACTGTGTGAATCGCTCAGCGATGCAAACACGTCCGACATCTTGAAACGTTCAGCATACGACACAGAAAATGGAAATTCCCGCAACCAAATATAGACAAGAGTTCCGAGAAGGGGGGATAACTCTGTTACACTAACACAACACTCCCCGTCTGATTTCTAATCACTCAAGTTCATGAAAAGTTTCACAAGATCTATAACTTAGATCGAAATACGAATCGAGTCAACAACAACTAAACACTGAAAACACATAAATCAATATAGCTGAGTTCATAATTTGACATTGCACAGTCTCTGCATCTAAATGTCACAACAGTTCGCATCACACTTGGCACTAATACACGAAAAAGTTATTCACAGGAATCAAGCGGCGGAATCACTTCCGAAATGGGTCGAATGAAAACACTAGGTTTTCCGTCTTTCACAACCCGGATCCCTAGTTTAAGCACTAGTCCGTCATCACTCGGAAAGATTTTGGTAACAAGACCAGTCGGCCACGAAAGACGGGGACATTCCTTGTCCCGGAGAAACACAACACCACCCACTTTATGATTAACAGTCTCTAAGTTCCACTTAGAACGAGCTTGTCGAGCAAACAGAAATTCCGATTTCCAGCGTTTCCAAAACGTGTTCGCCATGACCTGGACCATTCGCCACTGCGAGCGGTACATATCCTTGATACTTAAGTCCTGCGGGACGATTATGTCGTCACTGGTTTTCTGAGTAAGTAACTTTCCTGGCGACAGCAAATGAGACATCTCGCAATCCGAAGAAACAGCAACCAAAGGTCTAGAATTCATTATAGCAGCAACCTCGGCCATGAAAGTCGCTAGCACTTCATCTATCAGCTGTCCATGTTTGACGTCAAGAAGCATCGCGTCGAGAATGCGTCGGGCTATTCCTATCATTCTCTCCCATACTCCGCCGAAGTGAGATGCATGGGGAGGATTAAATCTCCAGATCATGTTGTTGGTGTCCAGGTAAGTTTTCACTTGAGGATCTCCCACGTTGATAGAGTGAATTCCAAGCTCATTGAAACTTTACCTCGGACGGCAATGAACCTCCGCATGGCGTTGATAAATGATGATGACGTCATCTCTGCGATGATCTCAATGTGGACTGCTCGGCTGTACAAACAGGTAAAGCGGACTGCCGATAGTTTCGAACTTGCGTTTCCGCCTCTTGTACGTCGAGTGATGATGTTCCAAGGACCGAATACATCAACACCAATCAGTGTGAATGGCGGTGAAGGAGTCAGGCGATCTTCAGGCAGATCCGACATTTTCTGAGAGGAAAACTTCCCGCGTAGTCTGCGACATTTCACACAGCGATGTATCGTGGAAGCAATCAGACGTTTTGCTCCGGTCACCCAAAGTCCACCATTACGAATTGCACCTTCGGTCATATGGCGTCCTTGATGTTATACCTGCAAGTGGTGATTTTGCACAAGGAGCTTGGCAATATGATTGCGACCTGGTATCAAGAAGTGGTTTTTCTCGGTCTCATGAAAGTCACCTCGTTTAATGCGTCCACCAACACGCAGCAGTCCCTTCTCATCAAGGTGAGGATTCAAGCAAAGCACAGAGCTATCCTTAGGCAAAGACTTAAAAGAACGAAGCGCTTGAATTTCTTTACTGAAATAGGTCATCTGGAGCTCTTTGATGACGAAAAGCTCAACCTCGCGTCTGGTAAGATCATTCTGGATATTGAAACGACTATTCAACCGAACTCGTATAGTACGAATAGCACGCACAAGGCTGTTCCAACTGGAGAAACGATTGAATCTAGATGTTCCCAGTGTAGGACGTTTGCTAGTCTTCCACGAGTGAACATCAGGTCGTACTTCTTTGTCCGATTCTGGCTCCACCAAAGAATATTCGTCATCAAGATCAGGGCTGATGTGATTGCGAAGGAAGGATGGTCCATTAAACCACAGACTGTCAGCAAACTGCTCTGGGGAGAAACCACGTGTCCCCTCATCGGCTGGATTCTCCTCTGTAGTTACACACTGCCACAGTGTTGGTGAGGAATTTTTCCTTATTCTAGCGACTCTGTTGGAAACTTAAACATAGAATCTCCTACGTTCATTTGTAAGATATCCAAGCACTACTCGGCTGTCGGTATAATAACGCATGTGATCGAGGGGAATGTCCAACTGTTCCGAAAGCATCTCGCCGATTTCGGTAGCTAAAACAGCAACACATAACTCGAGGTGTGGTATTGTGTGGCCGTGCTTCGGCACAACCTTCGACTTCCCGAAGACAAATCCAGTGAAGACCTCTCCATCCTCGTCGATACCTCTGAGGAATGCACATGCAGCTACTGCTAACTCAGATGCGTCAGAGAAGATATGCAAAGTTCTTGTAACACACTTCGAGAAAGACACAGTCAGGAAACATCTAGGGATATGTATATCACAAAGCTTGCTCAGCTGTTCAGTCCAAGACCTCCAAACCTTCTCAGTGTGAGGCAATAAGGAATCGTCCCAGCCATTTGCTTCATTCCCAGCATCACGCATAATAATCTTGCCCTTGATGATAATCGGCGTCAAGAAGCCCAATGGATCGAAAATCCAATTCACCGTTGAAAGAAGACCTCGCTTTGTGAACGGTTTCTGGTTTTCAGATGTGTGGTAAGTAAAGGTATCTGTGGATAGTTCCCATGCTATACCCAGGCTATGATGGAGTGGCAGTTCATCATGTGGCAAGTCTAGTGGCTCTAATGTCTTCGCCAAATCAGCAGCAGGAAACTGTGACATCACCTCTTCACTACTGGATGCAATTTTGTGGAGTTTCAGGTTCCCTCCTTCCAACAGTGCTCTCTGAGCTCTCTTAAGAACGTCGACCGCCTCGGTTACTGTGGGAAAGGACATTAAACCGTCATCAACGTAAAAATTGCGAATCACGAACTCCTGCAAGTCCACGTCACAAGGATTGCCACAATCTTCAGCACATCTCCGTAGACCGTAGGTGGCAACAGCCGGCGTAGGACTGTTGCCAAAAACATGTACACACATTCTGTACTCTATTTAAGGGTGATCAACGTCGTTTCCGGCGTGCCAGAAAAATCTGAGGTAATCCCGTCGGCATTCGTCGACATAAAATTCGAAGAACATCTGTTGTATATCTGCTACCACAGCAACTGTCTCTTTCCTGAACCTGAACAGAACACCATCAAGTCGATTCATCAAGTCAGGGCCTTGCATCAAGACATTGTTGAGTGATATACCTTCATACTTGCAAGAAGAATCAACACGTATCTGATCAACTTTCTTCGGATGGTAGACTCCGAACAGAGGGAGATACCATACTTCAGAGTCATCTGCTACTGGTGGTACTACCTCTGCATGACCGGAAGTCAGGATTCGTTCCATGAACTTGACGAAATGCTCGCGTTTTACAGAGTTCTTCCGAAGACTGGATTGTAACATGAGTGCTCGTTTCAATGCTACTTGTCTGTTGTTGGAAAGTACAGGCATAGGTTCCCTGAAAGGAAGAGGAGCTGTCCAATTGCCTGAAGAAGTTTTCTTGAACTCTTTATCCATGAGATGTATGAATTGTTCGTCCTCGATAGATGGTCCAATGTTATTATCATTACAATCTCGAACGAAAAGATTGCTGTCATCCATTTTCAAGGAGAGGTCGCATTCTGTGAAGGTACTCACTCGGCCATCTTTGGTGACGGAAGTCTTCAAAACACTCAGCCTATCTGGAGGATGAACGTTACCCAGGCACACATTACCAACAAGGACCCATCCAAATGCAAGCTTCTGAGCAAACGGCGTACCTTTAGGACCTGTACGTTGATCTTCTGTGTAATGCGCCTCTGGCAGGTCTCGACCAATCAGCAGAAGGATGGGGGCATCCGGGTCGTAAGGAGAAATCGGAACATCTCTAAGATGATTGTGGTATCCAGTAATTTCTGGCGTAGGAATCTCGCTTCTCTCATCTGGGATAGCGCTACATTCTGTGATAATTGGCAGATCCTGTTTAGAAGTACCATCAGCTGACTCAATGACAAATACTTTCGCTTGCCTACCACTCATAGTTGTCTGTCCTGCGCAAGAGGTGAGAGTATAAGTTGTCATTGTCGACATGGGTATGTTCATCCTATCGAAGAACTCCGCTCTCGCTAAAGTTGAGGTACTCTGATCGTCAAGTATCGTCAATCGCATGCTGTTTAAATTTGGGTCCCAGGTATTTCAACAGCAAATCTAGTTCCTCCCTAGGATTTGTTCTCAGGTCTGCCTTGAGGATGTCGAAACTGATCTTCCAGGATTGATACGTCTCGGGCTTATCGCCGAATTCTATCAGCCGCAGAGGTAGCATTTCACGCTTCATCAGATAATTGGAAAATGCATTCATTTCGTTGGCAATTGGATTTCTCCCATGAACATTAGGTGCACTGGATACATCGGGGGGTATGTGAGTGACTTGAGGAGTTTCTTGAATACTACAACTGGGTAATGGAGCAGCAGGCATGCTGGTACGTAATAAACTCGATATCAAGCTGGTAGGATTAGTTACCATAACAGAACACGGAGCAGTAGTAACCACAGTCTGAGGGATAGGTGCAGAATTTATCGTGTTAATAGAATATTGAACACCAGGTTCGAACTCAACAGTTTGATGTACATGTTCCTCACCCATAGGGGCTTTGTTCTGGTCAAATGCAGTAGGAATAGGGGATGAGATGGAATGACTAGGTTGCTGTATCGCTGTCGGTGCATTCATTGTCGACACGACAGGATTACCAATATACGCGGGTTGTGCACGAACAGTGTGGATCGAATGGTCAGGTTGAGTATTGACCTGTATATTACCTGTAGTGTCTGGATTCCTGGAATCAAAATACCGATTCATAGTTGTAGCTTCGTTGTTCAAGAAACATACCAGCTCATATGATAATTCGTCTCTACTTTCATTATTCATCATCACTGATTCCATAAGCAGAAAAGATTAACTGAGGACAAAAATTAAACATACTAAGTTTCTTGTATCAATCGATAATATTAGTTTCAAACATAATAAAGTACTCTTGCTTTAGAATAATAAAATCACAATACTCCAGATACAATGAAATTACCCTAAATCAAAATTACCAAATGCTTATACATATGCACTACTGTACCCGATACACAAATCATGACACAATCGTTTACTTTACAAATCTAAAAATAGAACGAAACACCTTAATCAACATCAGAACAATCAAAAAGGATATTTCAAGATAAAGGCATTTAAATCGACATATTTGCATCATATTTACCATAATTTGTTTGCTGGTATCGTCATAAGAGTCAAATTGAGTATAGCTACAGAACGTGTTTCGCTGCAAGTCAAGTATGGCCGCGCCCAGGTCAAAAGATCACAATAAAGTCGAAACCAAACCGGTAACAAAACATCCGGATTAGTAAGGTCCATTACAATAGTGTCGCTTCTGTTGACGTTATCCGAGCCACTTTTGCGGTCATCATACAGCTCTTCCTTCATACCGGCATACTCTGCACTCGCGACTGCAGCCTCCTTTTCTACTTCTAGTAGTTCCATCTTGATGGAGAGTAGAGCAGCTTCTTGCTTCATAGCAGCTTCTTTCTGCGCGAAACGTAATCTAGCTTTAGCCCCATCCAGTTTGGCTCGTTGGCGACCTAATACCGTCGATGCTGAAGATCTTTTAGAATTTGATTTAGATGACCTTCTAGAACTTACAAGGGATGGTGTTAGTTTCTCAGATGAATGTTGGTCACGAAGTTCAGCTGTCGCGTATTCAAGCTGTTTTTTTAATTTCGAAGCTTTATTCACGTAGACCTCTTTAAGAGATGCAAGACTTGCCTGTTCGTTGGTACTTTCAGGGGTATTGTACTTGACCAGGAAGTTCAACAATTCAACACAGAGTTTATCGTAGCGATTATATGTTTTGGTTAAACGTGACTAAATCAGCAATGGCATCATGGTATGTTGGGACCACACATTCAACAATACTGTCATTTGCCCTAGCAATTTTGTCAGTTTATTCAAATTATAATCCAAGCTTTCCCTGAAAAATGACTGGCCTCTTTCTGTCAGAGTATGTTGCCGTTTGGATGTTGAATCCATTTGTTCAGAATAGCCCTGGTTAATTTCGTCTCGTTGGTCCGAAAAAGACATGATGAAACTCTATAGTTTGAAACAATTCGTTCCTCTGTGTCGAGCTGACCTTATAAATGTTCTAGAGATGGTATTTCACTTTGTGTCTCTTGACTGAGTAGATTTATCATTTTGTGTCTCTAGACCGAGTAGATTTTTCACTATCAAGCCTGTGATCGATGAAAATGAAGAACGCTTGAAGCATGTAGAAATGTTGGCTTCGATTTTATTCCAGAAAAAGCAATACTTCAAGTATGTCGCAAACACGCAGAAGTCAAACGAAGTACAACATGTTGATCGATGTATGTATGTAGATCAGACTACGGATGTGAGCATGTATGTAGTGAAAAATCTTTGGGGGACTAGAGACGGTAAAATTCCTAGAATTGTACTGTGTTTATCGCTCAGCGATGTAAACACGTCCGACATCTTGAAACGTTCAGCATACGACACAGAAAATGGAAATTCCCGCAACCAAATATAGACAAGAGTTCCGAGAAGGGGGATAACTCTGTTACACTAACATGACACTTATCATCGCTTTCCAAGAATTGGTCGATGTATAATTTTATAACGACGCCAGCAACAAATAGAGCTACAAATAAAAGCACTAAAATTATTCTATATAACAATGTTTATTTCCAGTCCTGTGAACGATTTGACATTTTCCCATAATAGTCGCCATTCTGACCTTCCTGCCTAGAGTGGTGGTCCGACATGTCCGAGTGTGACTCTGAGAAATATTCATATTTATCTTTAGTTAATTAAATATACTCATTATTTGAAAGAACTCCTTAGCTCTTCGATTTTACGTCTGAAGGAAGGAAGTCTCCATCTATTAATTTCGTATTACTACCGTGAAGTTCGCTCATCACAGCAACGAATGCCTCATCTAAGAAAACAAAAGAGAACCGTCTGAGAAAAAACAAAACTTCATAGTACAATTTAGTCTGTCAATATTGCATTCAGTTGTCTTCAGACTACTTTCATGTAAGGAGGACATCTAGAGACATTAATGATTTTCAGGTTTTGCCATCAAAGACGTTGGCCATCAATCACATATAATATTCGAACTTCGTAATTTATTAATTCTGTGAAATAGATTTGAACTTAGATATATAAAGTGTTAAATGAATGGAGGAAATTTCAACATTCATGTTAAAAAAGTGATGCACATTCTTGCAGTATTTTAAAGATAGCAGTTCATTTGCTTTCGTGCTATTTGGATGAAAAAGGTCTACGGATAAGATTGCGTCAAACGAATTAGCTGACATGAATATATAACTTCGCTGTTATAAATACCAATAAATTGGTGTTCCGTATTGATAATATATAGAGCGATATAAATTACTATTAAGCTACTGCTAGGTAACAGAATAAAACTTTAACTAAATATAAAGTGAAAATGTGAAAATTACTTGCGGTAATGCTTATTCACATTCAATAGAATTAGATTAGTTTTGTACATGTTCATGACACACACGCACGGAACTGGCGGTCACGAGAACTGAAAAATGTATTTATGAGTGACTTGCTTAATATGATAGTTTATATAGATGTTTCTGAAGAATAACCGCAATAAACAAGTTCAAACCTTATAAACGCCCAACTTATAATTTTGACATTGCCCACAGATTGAACATTATATTAAGCTAATCTCTCTCTAAAACAATCTTTACTGAGAACTTGTCGGCTGCAAAACATAGGCCAACGATGTGTAAAGGGATAGGGGTATTTGTAACTACTGATAGTAATAATTATAACATTTATGAATCTTTCGATGATAAGAACATAATTTCTGATTTCTAATAAGGGAAATGTGTTGGTCGTGAACGCAGCATTAATCCAACATAACAATTTGGAATACGTACGACCCACAAAAGTATTCGCACATGGCAAAGGTTCCACGGCACGGAGCTTCTCTGTAAGTCGTGAGAATGTTGTGTAATGCAAGTTAATGAAATGGTATAAAAGTCCGCCGACTAGTCCGGCTGATACCATCTCTCACAGACCTCGAACTGACAATGAACTTCGCTCTTGTTTTCGCAAGCCTCATGGGTAAGTGTATTCGATCATTTTCATTCGTGTATATTGCGCACATCGCTCATCTAAGGTACCTTTAAAATGCTTTTCTTAATTACCTTTTGCTTAAGCGCGGATATAAACCGTTCACAATAAAGATGAATGGACGGAAATGGAAAATAAATTTTGATACTGCCTCTCTCTTAAGGTGAGGTGTGTTCAATCATGACGACAAGATCCCTTTTCACGGTATCATTAATCTCTAATGAACACTGTTGTTAATTTTGTTTGAGCATTTCACAGAATCAAAAACATCAATAAAACGGTGGTCAAATGATAAAAAGTAGTATATCTGGAACTAGTAAAATTTTCCGTAAACTTATAGTACTTTACTTTTCGTGCAAATGTTAGTATTAGTGTAGAGCGCATTTCATTGTCAATGACAAACTAAATGATTACGTAGTCGGCTGGGTTGCCGGTTCTAGAGCGGATCATACCCTTACATCTTGGATGATTTTTCAACAAGATATGCAGTGCCATGTATTCATACTTAAACCATTGACGTAATGATATAATTTATCACTCCTACGCTGGAATAGCATTCGGAAAACATTGTCATTCATCATTGTAAAAGATAGTGTAAAGAGCCCGCACATTGTTCCTTACACAAGTTTGACACTAACTTCATCCTATCTTAACTAATTTGAAATAATGGAAATTACTAATACGGCATTGTTTCAGTTTGTCTACATAGAAAGGTGTATGGGTTAGCATTTATGTGACCTAAAATGATATATAATCATAAAACATATCATATCATCAAATTTTTACTGTTTTTTCATTGTTACTATTTTGGTGATTGCTACTATGGATTGCAAGTTTCCGTAACCTATGCGAAAATGAGACAATAAAGAAAATTATATAAAAGTGCATCAGTGAAGTATCTTACAATGGAACTTTAATAATTTGAAAGTTTAATTATGGGTTTCAATTTAAAGATTTTGGGGCCAAAAAACCGTGCATGACCTTCGGTATTTTACACTAGCATGAAGAGTCTGGCAGTCTCAGTATAGTTGATATGAATTAACATAACTCAAAACTTTAATTATTTGAAAACGCCAAATACGTTTTAAGAATTTTTTTCCCCTAAAGCGGCCGCTGTTTACGGAGAAATTTGCAGAGATAAGGCAGACTGTGCTGACACAAAATGTGTTACTGGTATGATCACTTGTGCTGAGATCTCAGGCAACCATTTGTGTACGTGTATTCACAACAACATGAACAATATCAGTAAGTATATTCTAAACAGAGAAAGGTGTGAACTAAAATGAAAATGTAATGGCGACTTTCATAAATTACACGTGAACTTAAGATGATCTTTATCCCGCTCCCAATCTGTGACTTCCGCTGGAACATCGGAAGATAATCCAAGAGAGTGAGGTGTTTCCTGTCTTTACAGAATTTGAGTTTGAATTAAGATTCTATTGGCATCTCACTGCTTTCTTTTCTATGCAAAGGAACATAAGATTTTGTATTGAACGAATTAGTTTGCTTTTGTGTCCTTTGTATACTACATTTATAACGTATTAATGCAAAGACAGAATTAAACGATAAACATGCGATGTGTTAGGGTGAAGTAATCATATATCATCACAGTATTCAAAGGCATACTGTGCGTTCAGTCATTGATAGTTTAATATTGGATAGTGTTAAGGGCTCTTATGGTCTCATATTTACTTTTCTTAAAACAATATCAATTTCCGGATTCAGTGAAAAGGTTCAGTGTAACGACAATAAACTACACCGCTGTTTTACAGCAAAGTTAACAGATCATTTTCGTGCTTTCTAGACTTCATTACTCAAGGTTAGCTTCACTGATGAGTCCTGCAGGGACGAAACAGCGATGCGGCAAGTTTACGTCGTGCTTTGGCTGTACGGTATCTTTTTAAACTACTATTTACTTAAGTTTTTTTTAATACAATCTTGTATCTGTTACGTCCAGCGTGCTCTGCCAGGGCTGATTGTCAGATGGATTCTGTTTCGATGAATTGTGCCAACGACATGCGACACTGTTACGACGGGACCTGTCGCTGTGAGGGAATGGGGCACAATCATGGAATGCATACCCAACATCCTCACCCAGACCACCCCACGCATCCTCCCCACGGTGGTCATTAGAGATGTAATGTTTGATCCAAATCACTTTCCCAAGGTATGTCCCATTAGGTGTATTTCTGTATGCATCTTTCCAACCCTAACAATGACAATTGTCTTCTGCAACTCTCCACTATGGTGACCGTCTTTTCCTTATCTACCCCTCCATCCTTCTTACAAGAAGCTTCTAAAGAGGCAAATATTATTCTATGTATCTCCCCCTCTCCATGATGAGGTTCTGTAGAGGCAAATATTCTAGGTCTCTACAATACTTCCCATGGTGGTTCTATCTAGAGGCAAAAATTCTACATATATCTAACCAACATGGTGGCCTCCTAAGCGGCAACCAGTTTTCTATATCACTCCAAAACCCAATCATCATAAGCCTCTGTGGATCTTAATTGGCTTCTAAATCCACCCAAACCAGTGATGGTCCTCCCTGTAGATCACCTCAAAGTATTTGTTTAATCTGATTAAGTTTAGTTTTTTCCGATAAGATTTTATGGTGTGTTGTATATGGTTCCTAAATCGACAGGGTGTCTAATATACGTATCCTTTAATCTACCTGAAAATTGAAATATCTCATTTATTTCATTGCAGAGCGGTACTCACCTGTCGATTTATTAGTCATCAATCCAGTCCGACTTTGAGTCTATAAAATGGATAAATATAAAATTGATAATATTGTTTACTGTTATCGTTTTCAAATTAAAGGATGAAAATCGCTTTATAAGGTTTCTTTTAGTCTACGATGGTTAAAGCCATGCTCAATTTAATGTTATGAATGAAAAAAATTGTTTTAGATATAAAACTAACGAATCAAAGTGAAACAATTAAAACTACAGCAGATACAGATCTACTAGGAAGACTTTAGAGCGAAACGCGAATTCCCGTTTTTGATTTATTTAAATTTTTTCAAAAACCCACATTTTCTCTGCTCTTACCTTGTTGACTTCATTACGAATGAAAAACACGAAAAATACAACAAAAAACATTTAAATATTGTTATTCATCATAAAAAAAACTGACGGAGTAATTATCGTTAGCAAACCTTTTCTGCTTCCTTTTCCCAGTATGTACACAATATCTTAACAAAATATACAATCGCCCGCAGTTTGATACTGACAATGACTGCCCAACAGCCACCTAAAAGAACACACAGCATCACCTGAATAATATTCAGAGCTCAAAATGGATTTTGTCATCTTGATTTACAATTTTGTGTTTTTAATTGTAACTATGTTAATACTTAAAGCGACTATAATGTTAAAAAAACACTACGAGAAAACGATATAAAACGCTCTATTTTCCAAAAGTATGTTACAAAACTAAGACTTTCTGTTAATAACTAAAATTAAAAGTCACTGTAACCATTTTTTATTGATATCTAAAAAAAATAGAGAATGTAAACAGTGCGATCTTGATCTAATTCACACATTAATGCTCGTAACCCTGATGCTGCGCATGCGTATAAGCCTAGAAAGAAGCAATATGGCGGACACCAATACGAAAAGGCGACGAGGACCTAAAAGTTACATTACAAAAAATGCCAAAAAGCGTTAAAGAAAGGAGCCAAACCAGAAAAGAGGTCATTCAAGAATTTATATTAGACAGGAGATCGATAGATGGCGAAAGATAAAGGAGGATCTGAATACGGATTCGGACTTTGCGAAGCTGCTGGTTAGCCTAACGTGAGCCCTATAATTATAACGTATCAGCCTGTCATTGATTATAATCCAGTGTTTGGCACGTGAATATGTTATGAACAACACTGATATAAATATGTACAAAAACAACAAAATCGACGTTATAGGCACGTGTATCACTTTATTGTGGATATATGTTATTATTCCTAAGCCGAATTCTCCATTTCCCGGTGTTGAAATCTAAGGTAATAGCCGCTTAAAAAAACACACACAAGACTGAAGAGGAAAAAAAACATAACTATACAAAAGAAGGTAATGCTCCGACTTTTCCAGTTATCGGTGTTCACCATAAACTTTATATAAATAGTATTACTTCGAGTTCATTGCCATGTGGCTATCTTGAAAGATAAAATCCGGGTTTATTAATAAAAAAATCAACCCAAGAAAAAATGTATAAAGATTCTGCTGGCTGCCATGAAACGAAACATGCACTTTTGTTATTGGTCGATAAACATCGAATTCCTCTACATTATGAAATAAGGTCTTAACTAAGAAGTATTGGTCAATACCATCAGAGGACGTTATGGTAAATTATTGTTATATACTTCATTATTTGTTTTGCATGGCTTTAGGGTCATTTAAGGTCAGCTTACCTTTGGAGTGAGTAAATATTTTGAATACTTGCGTTTGTGGAAAGCTGTGATTGTATATCTCAAATATATAGTACTTCTCATACAGAGGTAAACTGCCTAAGGCACTCTTTAAAACACTCTGCACAGTCACATCATACAAGACAGCAGGCTAACCACTCATTAAACTACCACAATGCCGAGTATGTAGACTAGGCAAAGGGGAGTGAACACAAAAGCTTCCTACAAAGAGCGAACACTTTACTGAAATATTCGTATGATTTGGGATATTAGGGAGTGTTATTTCGTAGGAACGACCATGTTTTAAGCACATAAAGTTACATACCGTAGACTCCTACGTTGGTCAGCAGTAACACTGGTACACACAACGGCAAGCCACAACATAGTAAGATATAAAGTTAGTTACTGCACAAAAGATATAATTTCCGACACCTCGTATGACCCCGCAAAGTGCATCCTGTAAACGAATTATTATTTATTTCATATATTGATAGTCTTTTAAAACACGTTAAAGAAAAGTAGAAAGATCAAAGTGGTGGTTATCAGTTTTATAAATGTAGAGATTTCTGCTATAATATTATTATATATGTATTTTTACCCCATGGATATCTGCATCTCACTTTACAATCAACATCTTTTTATTTTGTGGTTCATTTTTGTCCGCCAAACATTTAAAATTGATATTAGCGCTGAGTACAAGTTCCATTTCATGCGTATCATTTATCTACGAAATAAAGACCCTACAAAATAACATTACATAAAATGATAATGGTTTAAAGACTGCTTTTTAGTTTCTCAAAAATTAGTTTAGATGACAATTTTGGTTTCGATGAGTGGAACGATTGGTTTTACAAATTACATTCAACAAATGAAGCATGGAATGGCATTTGTTTGAGGTCTTGACAATCGTCTTGTCTTACAATTAAAGCTACTCTGATTGTATATAAAGCCTGCATAATATGAAACAAGAAACCAATAAAAATATCCGTACCAGATTTATATAAAAGGCTGAACATGTGAACGAGTTGTATTCAACATAACGTTAATAACAACGGCAAGTTTCCAGGATAACCTCGGAACACAGTTCTCCTGAGCTAGAACCACATCTCCCTTCCGTATCACATTGTCCTTCGGCTTTCCAGATACTCGGTAGAACTCTCTTAAAGAAGTGAGTTTTTCATGCCGCCATCTGTTCCAGAATTGGTCAATGAGTAGACGTTTTCTTTCCAACTTTTTGTTGAGTTTCTCATGTGACTGTTCTTTGAATATATCGTTGTATATATATTTCGTTGTGACCTGTCTTCCGTATAGCAGCTGCGATGGTGTCAACGGTGATAAATGGTCTATGTTAGAGTTAACATAAATTAGAGGACGATCATTCATAATTGCTTCCACTTCTGTTACAATGGTAGTCAGCGTATCATAAGTGGCAAATGCACATCCGAGAACTTTCTTTAAGCAAGTTTTGGTGAGTCCAACTAAACGTTCCCAGAACCCTCCATACCAAGGTGTTCCCTTGGGAATGAACTTCCGAAATTATGTTTCAATTTGTTTGAAGTGTCTTAGATGCTGCTTAAGTGTTTTTGCATTGTCTGATATCATAACCTTTGGTTTCGACTTCCTATTTATGAACCGTCTGAATGCCAACAAAAAAGTTTCTTCGGATAAATCCTTCACTAGTTCGAGATGAAAAGCACACATGTTTGCGCACCTGAAGAGACAAATGTGGGCTTTTCTGTCCTGTCCATTTTCATTAACATGTAACGCTCCTGTGAAATCAACACCTGTAACCGAGAATAGAAAATTATCACATGCACGATCCTTGTGTAGAGGGGATGGTTCTGGTGTAGAGTATACGTTTCCTGTAATTTTCTTGCATATCACGCAGTTCTTTATCACATTTCCAACAGCCTGACGTGCAGCTAGGATCCAGAATTTCTGACGTAACAGCGTGATTGTTGTTCCTTTACTCGCATGGATATTTCTTTCATGCATGTCCTTAATCAAAAGTCTTGTAAATCTATGCTTTCGAGGAAGTAAGTACGGAAATTTCGCGTCAAAAGGAAATGGGGCGTTGTTTATGCGACCTCCACAACGAATGAATTTCTCTTCATCTAGATAAAGCCTAAGCTGTCGTATCAGCGCGTTGCTTGAATTTGAACTTAAAGTTTCTCTTACAGTTCTGTATTCACTGTTTTGTACGCTTTCTATCCAAGTAAGACTTGCATTGTGTATTTCCGTTGTTGACAATGGTCCGGTTGATCGCTTGACGTAAGCCTTTACATTACAAGCACTCTGGTAAGGGTGGAAAATCTTTCCAAATTTATTACACCTTCTACATTTGTTACAATCTTGTCCTTTGAGTTTACTTGAGTAGTATGGCTCACATCCCTGCGTCCGACGTCCACGATTTCAGTGGTCGTTAAAACTCGACTTTCCGGTGAATTCCAGCGTGGCCAATTTCCTTCGTTATGTATCCATCTCGGACCGTTGCTCCAGAGAGCATTGTTTATGAACTGTTTCCATGTAGTTCCTCTGGAAAGAATATCTGCCGGGTTGTCGTTTGTAGGGCAATACATCCATGAATTGTTTTTGGTTAGATTTCGAATTTCCATAACGCGGTTTTTCACGAAATGTTTCAATGGCTTTTCCGAAGAAATCCAGTTCAGCAAAATCTGGCTATCACTCCATAACACAACTTTTGAACATTTAAAACTTTTTGTCACATTCTCTGACATCCTAGCACCAAGTAATGCAACAGACAATGCTAGTTCAGGAATAGTGTAATTTCTCTTAAATGGGGGTTCACGATTTTACGCAATGACAAGCTTAGTTTGTTGTCCTTGTGATATATAACAACAGGCTCCGTACGCTTTCTTACTGGCGTCAACGGATATGTGCAATGTAACATCTTCGTTCTGAATGGCATCCGTATTTTTCGAAAAGTAAAATCTTGGAATCTGTACTTCATTGATGCGTTGTAAATCTTTGTTGATTTCGATCCACGAATTCTGAATTTCCTCTGGGAGCACTCCCAGTCATAGCCGTTTTTCCATACCTCTTGTATTGACATCTTGCTCTTAACTGTGATTGGGCTCAATATTCCACGCGGGTCGTAAATTTTCGATGATCGCTTTCATATTTCTCTTTTTGTGATTAACTGATTTTCACCGGTGGAAATTTCTTAAATAGGGAAGCAAAGAGTATCAGTTTTGGTGCTCCAACGTAATCCTAGTATCTTAACTAAGACATCTTTGTCGTGTAAGGCGTTTTCCCGTGCAATGACATTCAATTTGTCGTCGTTAGATGCCCATGAACATAGAATCCTCCTTTTAACATTAAGGATCGCGTTTTTTGAAAATAATCAAGGAGCTGTTCCTGTGTCTCGAAACTTGAGATGATGTTGTCGATGTAAATATCATCCTTGATGATGTTCGTTTCACTTGATGCATTGGACTCTAAGTGTTTTAACACCGTGGCATTTAGAATAAAAGACGAGCAAGTAACGCCGAACAACACTGATTAAAATCTGTAAGTAATCAGACGCGGGGTCGGGTGGATCTTTCAACCACAGAAACCTTGTGACGTCACGATATTTTTTATCAAATCCAATTTGAAGTATATAATGGATTTTACTGTTTGACAACATGACATCATGTTCCTCTTCGTCCACTTTTTCGATAAATCCTCGGCGTTCCTGCTCTGCGATGATGCTACCGTATGTCTGTAACATAACTGGATCTTTAGCTAGTCTTCTTACAATATTCTCAGTTCTTCGTTTTGCGACGGTCTTGTTGTCCGGTAGTTCCTTGTAATCTGATTTCCAAGGTAAATCTGCTTCATATTTTCCATCGCGTAGTTTCCTACATGTTTCTTTGTACTCACCTAAATACGTTTCCTTTTGGGATTTTTCGAGTATTACGGTTTCGAGCGTTTCTATTTCCCAAAACTTTTCAAGGTCGCATTCTTCGTGTTTATGTGATAAAACAACATTCAACATGGAGGCTTTCTGTTTTGAAACTGCGAAACGATCATTGACACCAACTGGACCGGGAAGTAAATATCCAATTTTCGATTGGACAGCAGTAGGTCCGTTTCCTCTGATAACGTGGTCCTGAACGATTTGCCAATAATAATCCGCTCATATAAGAATAGACACTTCAAATGAATCTCCTGTCGGGAATGGGTGTGCTAACTTCAAACCTCTCAGATGAGGCAGGTCGCGAATCTGTGTTCCGCGTACGCTAAGTGGAACTGTGATAGGCGATACTATCAAGACGTCTATCGGTATCATTTCGTTTGATTCTGTTTGTATCTCGATTACTCTGCACTTGAGATGACGCACATTGTCTCCGAATCCGGCAATATCTAAAGTTTCCGTTCCCTATGTTTTCACATCTAACTTTTCAGTTATGAATTGAGCGTTGTGCACCCTCGTCAAATAAAATGTTTCCGTCGATACAGTTGTTTCCGAACCAAACTGGTGCTACCGCGGTTTTCAGAAGTACGTGCGAACTATCTGTCTCCGCAGATGTGTACATTACTTCAGTAATGGTAAGCATCTGAGTTGACTTTTTCACATCTCCACAAAGCACACATGGTCTTTCTGCTTGTTTAACGATTTTTCTGTCATTGCGAGACTTGGTACGAGTAATAAAGACGGCTGTGTACGATGGTTTTCTATTAACATCATCAATAGAGTAACCTGCATCCATTATTTCTAGTTCGTGACGGACACAATCCCGTAATTTCTGTAACTGCCAATTTGTAGGTCCATTTTCACAGGTGATATTTTTTCGCACTTCTCCGGGCAATTTGTTTAATATGACTGGGGTAAGTAGCGTTCCAAAAGAACTCTTTACATGACCAAGAGACTCTAGCCCTCTTATATATACCTCAACTTTGTCGTAAAATTTCCTTAGGCTCTGTGAAGTATTTTCTGGTGATGATACTTCTAACAAGGCCTGCATATAGATTTGAGAGATTTTGTGATCTTGACCGAATCTTTCAAGAAGAATTGAGATCGCTTTACTGTAATTAGCATTT